ATAGTAATATTGATGGTAGTCAAACGTCTGTCACCTGTAGCCAGGCTGCATCAATAGTGGTGAGAAAAGACGTAGCCACTGCTAAACACGACAAGCTCTCCTTAGACTCTAACATAATTGTTGGAAACTTAGAAGAGTCCAAAGAATCTGATCCCGTAAAAAGGCACGATCACGACCTTAAATTAGTGAGTAGTATTATAAGGAAGATGCTCCCAGCGAATTTCCCTGGAGTATCGATTAAAAAGCTGATTAGAATAGGCAAAAGAGATGATGAATGTTCTAATCAGCGTAGATTGCTTAAAGTAGTCTTAGGTTCTCCTGATGAACGGAATCATCTACTGGCTAATGTACACAACCTTGCCGGGTCAGGAATTTCAGTCAGACCTGATTTATCTCTTGAAGACAGACTAAAACGAAAAGAAGTTTTGTCCCAGCTAGAAACAAGACGTAAAAACGGTGAAACTAACCTTAAACTGGTGGGTTTTCAAATAGTCAGGTCTTGGAAACGTATGCTTCCAAGACCTGTGTGGATAAGCCGGACCGCATAGGAAGCCTGAAGGTAGTGTACACTAATATACGTAGTATCGGGAACAAATTTCATGAGCTAGGTGTATTAGTGGAAGACCTTAGCCCAAGTATTGTGGCCATTACTGAAACATGGCTGATTTCTGGATTAGATGACTTTTTTTTTTTTTTTTTTTTTTTTTTTTTTTTTTTTTACAGGGTTAAGGGTCGTAGAGGTGGCGGGGTTGCTCTGTACATCAACAACTCCCTACATGTTCGTTCCGTGAAATCTGAAGCGCATGACAGTGGGACAAGTGAGGTAATTAGCTGTGAAGTAAGCTTTGCAACTGGCACTTTACTCATTGGTGTTCTGTATAGAAGTCCCTTTTGTCAGTGTGATGACTTTATTTTAGATCACCTCAAACAATGGAGTAAACACAGTAGCTGTCTTATTCTAGGTGACTTTAATGCACCTCATATAGACTGGGTAGCTGTCACATCTCCAGGATCCACTAATAAGTTTGACAGCCGGTTACTCTTGACTACCATGGAAAATGCCCTGACACAACATGTCTTAGGTAGTACAAGATTCGGTTCTACCCAAGGATCTTCCTTGCTGGACTTAGTGCTTACTCATGACAACGACGACGTGGATGGTCTAGTTATTCATCCACCTCTAGCAAACAGTGATCATGGGGTGTTAGATTTTAACTTAAGGGCTGGCAATTTAGTCAGTTTTCAACCCAAATCCCGACCTAGTGTTTGGCATGCTGACATAGTCGCTATAAAGGAGCGTGCTTCAACTGCTGACTGGTCAGTCAATATTGTCTCATCCATTGAAGATGAATGGGATAGATTTAAGAATACACTTGAGAGGGTTACCACTGATTTCATTCCCTGGAGGGTTCCTAAAAGACCAACAAATCGGCCACCATGGATAAATAGACAAGCTATAACACTCCTAAGACGGAGAAAAAGGTTCTGGAATCTCTTTGTTTCTACTGGGCTACAGCAGTTCCGGCTGAAATACTGTGAAACCAGAAACCAGTGTAAAACTTTGATTCACCAGTCAAGGATAGCTTACGAAACCCAGTTAGTTAAAAGTTCACCAGGCTGCCCAAAAAGACTCTTCTCATATATCAAGAGAAGAACACGTAAGAGTGATGCTATCCCACCTCTTATGCTTGAAGATGACCAGACAAACATGGCTGAGGATAACTTGACTAAGGCTGAGGCTTTGTCCAAGCACTTTAGTCAAGTATTCTCTGATAATATTGATACCAGCTTTGTAACTTTTCCAGAAGGTAACTTGAAAATGGCACCCTTATACATTGGAAAAGATACTGTCCTAAAGTGGCTTCTAAGGCTCAATCCTGGTAAGTCCAGTGGCCCTGATGAACTCCACCCACGTATATTAACAGCATTGGCTGAAAACATAGCCGAGCCATTGTCGGTAATCTTCAATATGTCTCTGGACCAGTCTAAATGTCCAAGAGACTGGAAAGATGCCATCATTAGTCCGGTCTTCAAAACCGGATCTAGAAACTTAGTTCAGAACTATCGTCCTGTTAGTTTGACCAGTATTGTTGTTAAACTACTAGAAAGAATAATTCGTGATGCTATCATTCAGTTCATTGAAGGGAACAAACTTTTCGCTGTGGAACAGCATGGTTTTAGAGCAGGTCATTCTTGCTTGACCAACCTTCTTTTGGCCAGAGAAAGTTGGGCAAGCTCAGCTGATGCTAATATACCGGTGGATGCCATATTCATCGACCTTAGCAAGGCGTTTGACAGGGTTTCTCATTCAGGTCTTCTAGTAAAGTTAGGTAGTATGGGAATCAATAAAGTGGTTGCCGACTGGATTCAAGACTTTCTAAAGGACAGAAGACAAAGAGTACGAGTTAACGGGGTTTTATCAACATGGGAATCGGTTAAGAGTGGCGTTCCTCAGGGTACAATTCTAGGCCCACTTCTTTTCCTGATTTATGTTAATGAGATTCCATCGGTAGTTAAGTCATCCTGCTTACTGTTTGCTGATGACATCAAGATATGGAGGGCTTTACACGATGACAGTGATCAACTTGCTTTGCAGGAAGATTTAAAATTGTTAAGTGATTGGTGTAAGCACTGGGCCTTGGAGATTAACTTAAGCAAGAGTGTAGTTATGCATGTATCTCATAGTCACGTGCACAATTACTCAATGAATGGCATTACTCTCCCAGTGGTCACTGAGTACAAGGACTTGGGAGTGGTTGTGCAGCATGACTTGAAAACAGCAATAAACTGTAGAGCTGCAGCCACTTAGGGTTTTCGAATATTATGGGCCATACGCAAGGCATTTGCGAATTTTGACGCTGAAATATTTCGTATCTTATATCCGACTTATATCAGACCTCATTTGGAATATGGGATCCAGGCAGCGAGCCCGTGTTTCAAATACGAAATAGACTTATTAGAAAGGGTGCAAAGAGTAGGAACTAAGCTAATAAAGGGTTTCTCAACCCTCTCATATGAAGAGAAGTTAAGTCGACTGGGTTTATTTCCACTGTCATACAGACGACTTAGGGGTAACCTAATACTAACATACCGTATCCTAAGAAATGATTTTGGAGCAAATTTATCTAATTTATTTCTTCCTTCTAGCACCAACCAATTGCAAGGACATCACCTCAAGGTTCAAAAACCACGGTCGAATCGTCTGCGTTTGGAGATCCGTTTTTCGCATCAGATTGTGAACCATTGGAACTCCCTACCGGAACACGTCATATCAGCGCCATCCGTTGATTCATTCAAGGCGAGATTGGACCTCCTGTTTGTAACAAATCGAAAGGATTAACACAGGCATATAGCCTATTATCCTAAATAAATTGTAAACTGTAAATATAAATGCGACTGTACAGCTAAGTGAAAGAAGTCGCCTCCAGAGAGAGACTTTTCCCTGAACATTTTTGTTCCAATATTCATGTTTAGGAGTGTGTCGTCTTTAGTGGGTGTTCCACCGTCGAACTACGGACACCCTTCAAAAGCGTCAGTAAAATATAATATACATTAATATAATACAAAAATGAATATTAGATAAATTAAGGCAGGTAACATAGAATTTATGAATTCATAGGTTCTACAGTAGGCTAGTGTAACAACAGTGGTTAGATCTGCTCCTTTTACACTCAGAGCTCCTTGTGATTCAGGAGAAATGCAATGGACTCTGTCGTTTGGACTGTCTATTATCTAGAGGCCTTTGGTAATTTATTCAATGTCCTGTAGATTATAGTCCTGCCCGAAGATCCATATGTCTCCATCAAAAACTGCAGGGCATAGGCTTCCCATTTGTTGGCAGACAGCGACACCAAATGTAATGACAGAATACAATGACCAGGCAACAGATCGTTTATTGAGAAAATCAACAGATATTTATAGATTTTTATGTACATTATTATTCGTTATTTTAGCACAGAAACAACGTCTTCTGATTGATTGTTTTCTCGCTGAAATTTATTTTGTCATCTCTTTGTGGCCGTTTTGTTTGACGGTCAGTTCATATCTGCGAATCGTATCTGCCCATGATAAGTCTGCTATGATGGGTTGTTGAGTTCCCAAAGGTTACACTTTGTTATTGTTTTATCTCGTGACCCCGATTGGGGATGTAAATTGCTGCATACAATTTTGTCTTGCAGGCAGCTCTCAACACACTCTTATTCCAAACCGTAGTAATTCAACCGAGGGCTTTTGTGGAAGATCGCAAAACAGGATAAGACTACTGATAAACGGGTCACAAAACAAGCTCACCTTGAATCACCTCGGTGAATAAATGTACAAAACCTACTGTAATTTAGAAACTTGTACTCATCATGATAACTGGGACGTACTTTTCATTCATGTGTCAGAGGACGATGTGTTTTCATGCATTTCGCCTGTATATAAACGTCATTTTTGTGAGAATATCACTTATTTTTACGATTGGTCGGGTCAAGGTCATTCGTGCGTTCGCAACTCTTGGGACGCTGTTGTTTAACTCTGCTCTGTTCAGTACTCCCCAGTGGTTTTCCAATGGTTCTTTAAATGTTGTCCACTCATGATCAAAGCCAAAAACCATAACACACACACACATAAATTTATTTATTGATTTATATTTGACTGTAATCAAAAGCCACACAAATGACATTATCACCATAATAATCATAATCATCATCATAATGATAACAATCAGACAACACACAGGGATACTATAAATTCACACACACACACATTTCACTGCTGCCAGTGTGTGTGCGTATGCGTGCGTGCTAGAAGTTTGGCTAAATGTGTATCACAGAAGCATAATCAATAAGTCAATCAATAAATAAATCAATCATGAATTTAAATTTAGTCTAAATCAATCACAGAGATATAAGAAAGGTTGTTATGATGTAACATTTTCGAAAAGAGAAGAAGAAGAAGAAAAAGAGAAAGAGACAGAAAAATATGTTCTATTATATGTATGAAAAACAAATCTGATCACGGAAATAGAACCAACAGCAACAACGATAACGACAACAACAAGGTAAAAGATCAATTGTAGAGGGAGTGTGAAAGATGTGAAATTGTCAACCTACCTCTTTTTGTTGTCGTTGTTGTTGTTGATGATGATGATGAATGGATCAGAATGAATCAATATATGGATTATTTATCCCCTTAGGAAATGTCTCAATATCTCAAGACTAGATCACAACGAGACAATGGATAAGGGATGGAGAAGAAGCTATAGAGTACTGTGTTACTGTAGTTCACGAGCACACGCACACACACAAACACACACACAGAAACAAACACAAATATACACATATACCTAAAAGCCTTTTGAAACTGTGATTGAATGAGACCTCAGTAACAATAATCTATACAGTAGTTTGTAAATATTTGATCATATTACCACCTAAGCGTATCAAATGCACAGAAGAATAAAAGTAATTAAGATAGGAGGTCAACACACTGACATGTACACACACACACACACACACACACACACCAGAAACACAACATAAACAGGTGAAATCTGAAAGCTAAAAGAAATAGAAATCAAAGAATACTGCTGAAATATCAATGACGATGTTGATGACAGCGATGATGATATCGATGTTGATGATGTCAGTGATAAGGATGACGATAGTAAAAATTAGCTTATCTGAAGAAAATCTTAAACATGAAAATATGTTGCTTGATGATAACGATACTGATGACAGTAATAATAATAATAATAATAATCTTTCATAATCATTGACGATGGATAGATGGATACATAGGTCAGGGGATTTGGAAGGGGAGAACGAGAGAGAGAGAGGGAGAGGGAGATATGAGGTGGTAACAAGAAATGCACTAGACACAAACGCACACCACAGACACATACACACAAGGACATATATGAAAAGACAAAACGCAAAAGACATAAAAATGAATAAAAGAATAAATAAATAAATGAAGGAATCAATCAGTCAGTCATGGCTTCGTCTCGTATTCTTCACACACACTCTGTATGTCTGTGTATATAATGTGATGGGAACAATCTCTCAATGGGACTGAATTGGTGGAGGTATCGGTGGAGCAGGTACAGTTGATTGTATGCTATTGTCTTGTTCTTTATAAGCAGTAAGCGCATCACCTTGATAGGAACCCGTTGGTTCATCATCGAAATCATCCTTTGGATTACGCTGAAATGAAAACAATATGGATAAATGAAATATTTAAAGTAAGTAATGACTTCAAAGAAATCGGAATTCTATCACCTGTTGCATTCAGACAAGGATATCGGTGTTGAAGGTCAGACAGTGATGATGAAGATATTATTGAAAAGACTTTTGAGGATGTTCAGTTTGTAGTGTATGAAAGATGATGGCCATTTCTTAAAAAAGGGTCTTTAGCTTTTATGCTAGTTAGGTGCAGGAAAATGGCAACGTTTTCTTTGGACAACTACTTTTTAATTGACTACCTTTACCACGGAGAAGGTCATCTCATGCATTTATTACCTCGATATCCTCTACAGAAAGGTTGTCTGAGATCATTTGACGTAGCTTCACCCATGTAGAAACCAATACCTACAACCCCAGAACCTATATAACCACCACCTACACCTTCACGATAAGGTGCATTATGACCCCCCAGTATATTGCCATGTTTATGTCAACGCAATAATGTGAACTTGAGAACCATAGAAGAACTACACTTAGAAGTACTAAGTCAACGTTCGACTATATTCTCTAAATTCTCCACAGCAAACTGTACTGGCTGAAATTCTGAATTATTATGAACATTAGAATGGTTATTCACACTTCCTGAAGGTCTTGATATGGATCGCCAGTGGAGTCATAACTGCGTACTGCTAAAGAGTGCCCAAATAGGAAGGAACAGCCTTCCAGTGATTCCTAATGGCTTTCAGTGGTTTTCTAGCTGATATCACTTTGAGCTCTGACTTGAAATCAATCAAATCCATGCAAAATGACAGTTGGAAATTGATTTAATCCTCACTAGTGACTGATCACAGAATGAAATTGCCTGGAATTTTGGGGAGAAGTCATGACCGACAGTGTCATCTAAGTCAAACCCAGAATACTTAGAATTACTCGGTGGTGACATATATATATATGGCGAATTGGAAAACTTTAGAACACAAGGGGTGGTTATTAGATTCCATCCAAGTGGCTAAATGATCAACCAGGTCACCTCATAATCTGGAGATTCCGGGTCCGATCCCCAGAGTGATTCATGAGTGTATACTGATGAAAAGTTTCAGCCTAAGGGGAGGGTTGGAAAAACGGTTGTTGAATACTCTCTAGCTTTCAATAGCTCTCTCAATGAAGTCAGTTTGTGCTGCAACTTGAAATCAAATTCACTAATTAATGCATTTTACTGATGATTAGAGAAAGTTCTTAAACACACTAATTGTTGGATTGCATCTCAACGTTTGAATTGAACGATATGCAAAATATGTATTATATTTATCAACTTAAAACAATAAAACTACAAGGTGAGATGGAGATCAACAGTTTTACAAAAAAAGTCAAATAAAGTCTTATAGATTGGTGGTTCTTGAATAGTACATGCATTGTTGGTGCTTCGACAGTATCCATTTGATCTACTTATATAAAATTAAGTAGACTAAACAAACCTGTTAAAGTTTTACAGACTAAAGATGTATGCAGAGTTAAGGAAAAGTAGAATACGCCTTCATTACCCTGTAATCAGAACGCTCAAACCAAGTTAGAAGTTCTGGGTCTTTAACTTTATCTTCAAATCAGTGTATCTTTATGGTTCAGAGACTTTTTGTGCCAGACACTAAAAGTATTCTTCGATTGCACACTAGTTAGTAATTAGTGTAATTTGTCTAGTTCTTTGTTTGGGAGCAGACTGACTTCTGTCAGTCAAGTTTGAGTGTCGCCACCATGCCAATCAGTGGATGGCCATGTAAATTGTTTATATTAGGTGGTTGAAGGCAATCGGCTACAGGAAGCCTCATCTGACTTAAGTTTCGTGTTGGTTGGCACTCACCAGTCAAGAAGGCGTAGCGGCATCTACCTTGAAGGAACCTGTGTCCTTTCTGAGATTCGAACCCGCATCATCCAGTGTGACCTGATGTCATATATTTTATCACTGGGCTCGTGACTGACCTCCTGAATTCTACCAACCAAGTTTTTGATGTGGCCACCGTGTTATGTGGCACTGTGCACTTGAATTGCTGGTATTAGATGGCACTGTGATGGCGAGCCAACTAGTGGCATGGTGGCCACATTGCAAACTTGACTAAAGAATCCAGTCTACAGCAAAAAAGGACTAGACACATTACACTAGTTACTGACTAATGTCCAATCAAAACAAATATCCAATACAGTCAGTCCTAGGGGTGGCCAACTGCGAGCCCAAATAGCTCAGTGGTAACATCTGTGACAGCAGGTGATACTGATGACGCGGGTTCGATTCTCAGACGGGATTTGAATTCCTTCAAGGCGGTTGCAGATACGCCTTGCTGACTGGTGAGTGCCAACCAGCACGAAACCTAAGTCAGATGAGGCTTCCTGTAGCCGATTGCCTTCAACCATCTAATATCACTAAAAGTATCTCCAACCGGCTTCAGACTCTCATCACAATAACTTCTCTTCCTAGCTCATTTCTGAAGATCAGAAACAGTAAGCTATAAGGAACTCTAATAACAAGCCAACTTACACCCTATCACCAAACAAATACATCTAGCAAACAGTTGGGTTACACACGACATTCAACGCAGACCCTACAATATAACGCCAATGAGGAACGATGAGTTGGACGTGTGAGCAAATGAAAGCCTATGGGCAATTGTGTCGCCAGCTGAAGAGAACTACAAAGAACAGAGTGTAACACGGGATGACCTTCTAAAGCTCTATACCCCACTCGGAACCAATAAGAATAGCTAATAATAATAATAATACAGAAAGAATTTTTAAATAAAAAAACCTCTTTTTTTAACTGGCTTACTTGTTGTGTATACTTTTGATAACTCGGGTGAAAATTGTGAATAGCATCATTCAGCATATCTTTAGGATTAAATGTATCCCGTAGACTACGCAGGGAATCAGATGATGGTAAAAATCCACCTTTGAGAAAAAACAAAAGAAAGAAGAAGAATAAACAGCAATAAAAAAGGAAGAGAAAAAATGAAGTTTGCAGCAACACAAAAACATAATGACCTCATTCACCAGTGCTTTCAAGTACGAATCCATCAACACTGATATTATCATGAGATAGAATCATGAAAATATTATATTACTATTGTTATTATTCCCTTGCGTTCCGAGTGGAACATAGGGCTACAACAACACACCTCCACTTCGTTCTGTTTTCTGCCATCCTCATCAGCTGGGTCCACGATTAACCAAACTCTCTCATCTCTTCCTCAACACAAGATCACCTCTATGTCACCCTAGCATTGACGACCCACTTGTCACCTCCCGTTTAGATTCCACAAGAGGGTCTGGCGTGGGATGTCATTCGGCGGCCTCCTCAATGTATGCCTTATCCATCTCCATTTTCTCCTACATATTTGTTGAGCGATCGGCTCTTGGTTGGTTTGTTCCCAGCCAGCGTTTCTTGTTGCTTATTCTTTCTGGCCATTTAATCTTCAGTATGGAGCGAAGGCAGTTGTTGATGAAAGTCTGCAATCCGTTGGAAATCCTTTTCGTGACTCACGCGCAGTGCATGTTTCTGACTCGTATAGAAGAACCGACTTGACATTGGTGTTGAAAATGCAAACCTTGTCCCATATACTGAGCGCGGAAAATTTCCAGACTGGTTTCAGGTTGACAAAGGCGTATCTTGCCTTTCCGATTCTGACTGCCTTTGCCATCTTCATCCGTGCTGTCTGCCTGCCTGTAGTTGAAGCAATGCTTCCCAGATAAGTGAAGGAGGCAGCCTCTGTTAAATCTCTCCCTCCCGGCCCTGTTTTCGCTGCATCTTCAGCCAGTTTGTTGGCTTTCGCTTGCAAGTCTTCGAGTTTGTGTGTGTGTGACATTGGGCATACATCATCTGCGAAATCCAGATCTTCTAGAGTCTTCTTATCAGTCGTCCAGCGTATTCCTGACTCCTCGCTCCCAACAGTCTGACGCATAATCCAGTCCACCACAATTAAGAATATCATCGGTGATAATAGGCAGCCTTGTCTTCCTACTGTATGCACTTTGAACACCTCGCTGAGTTTTCCGTTGTGGATCACTTGACACGTGGCACTGTCATATAGCTGTTGAATGAAGTTGATGAAGACGAGGTACGACGTAGTGTCGAAGTATTTTCCCAATTACTTCTCGGTCTACGCTGTCAGTCGAAGGCGTTTTCGAAGTCAGCGAAGTTGAGGCAGACAGAGGTTTGACTGCCATTCTATGCTTTGTTCAATGATGACGATGCGTAAGGTGGCAATTTGATCAGAACATGATTTGCCTTTACTAAATCCAGCTTGTTATGGCACATTGGCGGAGTTCTGTACCCAGTGCATTCTTTAATTCTCTCCAGGATAATACGACTTAGTAATTTACTTGGCGAGGACAAAAGCTTGATTCCACGCCAGGCCTAAGTCATCCTTTTTTGGCAGGTTGACGAGGTAGCCAACCTTTCTTCCAGTCGGTAGGCACCTTTCCTACTTTCCAAACTTTTTGCAGTAAGGGAATAAAAATAAGTAGTACATATATAAAGTTTAAGACATGTTATTATTATTATTATCATTATTACTACTACTCTTAGGCAGTTAACTCACGTTTCTTTGTTTCATGAAGCACGTCACCTCCGCCTAGACTATCATAGCCACTAAATGTTGTCGGTCCTGTGCCAATACCATCAGAATATAATTGTGAGGGGAATGCAAATCTCAAAGCGATTGAAGCCGCAAACATTTCTAAACAAATCAAGAAATTTTGTATACCAGCTGCAACTGTACCAGCATTTGTATTCGGTAAAGCTGGCAGTACCTCAGCCTTTTCCAGGATAGCTAATACCACACCTGTAATGATAATAATAATAAGGGACAGTAATAAGAGGAAATCGGAGAGAGATTTTTCAGGTATTGGCTTTTTTGTAGGGATTGTGTTTCATTGGTTGGAGGATTTCATCATGAGCAGACAAATCAGTTAGAGAACCATTGGAAAACCAGCACTCGGGTACTGAACAGCCAGCTGTTTCGTCAGCCTAGTTTGGGACTATTCATCAGTACGGACCCACTGCCAGGGTTCGAGCCCAGGACCTTCTGGATACAAAGCGAGCTAGCTCGTAGACCATTCAGCCAGCCACTGGGAGCCAATCCAATGGCCAGTCAGTCCATGCATTCTAACTTCTGCCAATTAATGCACGACATAGCGCGACCACTTCTCAATGACTTCTTCGATGATTTACTGTCCTCACCTTCAACCTGCTGTACCCTACTGGTCACAACGCAAACAAAACACCAGACTGTCAATTTTTATCCATTTCAGGTGTTTGTAAAACTTAAGGCGGAGTGAACCTGACTGGTAGCGGCCACCTTTACGACATGGAGGCGGGGTTTGCACATCGCAATGACCCAATGAGCTATACTGGCTGGGACTAATATTCCTGCAGGTCTTATCATTACTGTAAAGGTTGTTTGGATAGCTTTTGAACTGAAATCAGTCATCGTCATAGTTTAAACTGTTTGTGATACACTGAAGGTATGTGGGAAAATTCGTACTGCTAGTGAATAGTGATGCAACAGCAGTAAAGTGTTTTTTCTCAAGTGAGCAGCGTACCAACTACTGCCGCCTCTTTTTTGCACAGGTGAGATTAGAACAGGCCAACCCCGGAAGTTGCACATCTTGACTTACCTTGAGGTAGTCAGTGTCCCCCACCGGGGTTCGAACCCAGGATCTTCTGGTTACAAGGCGAGCTCGTAGACCATTCAGACACTGGGACCCGATCCAATGGCCCATGAATTCTAACTTCTAGCCAAAGACATTGGCTAGCGGTTGCGCTATATAGTGAATTGGCAGAAGTTATAATTCATGGGCCATTGCATCAGATCCCAGTGGCTTAATGGTCCACCTTGTAACCAGAAGGTCTTTGGTCCGAACCCCGGTGGGTAAATACTGATAAAGAGTCCCAAACTTGACTGACGAGACAGCCGGCTGACCAGTACTCGAGTGCTGGTTTTCCAATAGTTCTCTAACCAATGTTAGCTCATGATGAAATCCTGTAAGTAAAATTGCTTTCCTTGGGTAACCCTGATCTACCTAACGTTTAAGTACCGATAAACGAACTTGAACTCTTTGGAATAAAGCTATTATTATTTGGAGTAAAAAGGCTTGTGATTAGGTAGTGTTCTCAGATGAAGATTAATATTTTTACCACAGATCAATTGTCAAATTTAGTAGATAAGAATGCTGTACAACTTATCCATTAACTGGCTGGGATAGCAAGCTCAAGAGTGCACTGAATGATAGATAGCACAACGAGGGAGCTAGCCACGTGAGAGCAGTCACGCCAGAAAAACAGTGAAGACGCGACGCCATATTACATGAATACGTTAAAACAAAAGTTCAAACATCCAAGGCGCACTACAGTGTATTTAGTATAGGAATACTGTGTTATGTGCAAACAAGATTCAACTCAATTTATTGAATCAGAATCAAGTGTTAAGTGATTTCTAAGAATTAGTTTGTGCAGATTCTATTTTTCTTCAGGTTAGACCACAGAGGATTGATGTCAGTTACAGAACCAGTGAAAACCTGGAGAGCAGTACTAGGCAGCTATCGATAGAAGCCTGAGATTTGGTGGAAATGCTTTAGTTGACGCGCCAAGACTCTCAGCCATACCAGAAGCAAAAAATTAATATTAATGTCGAACATCACAATCTTCCGCATTATGTTGAGTGCAGCAGATTACCACACACTGATCTCAGAGTAATGAAGGCCTGTCTTACTTTGCCGATTCTGGCTAGCTTCGACATCCTGATCCATGTTTTCCTCTGTAGTTTGAATGAAAGAAGTGACATCTTTCAGATTTCTCGCGTTCACAGCGATTGATGCTAGTTGCTGTTGGCGGTGGTGGTGGTTGTGTTGGTGCGTGGGTATCTTCCTCACCTACGTCTTCTCTATGTTCATCACTTGAATTCTTGTCTTTGCAACCTGCTCCTCACTTCCCACGGCCCATCACATGATCCAGCCGAACACAGTCAAGGATATCATAGGTAACAGTAGCCTATATGAATATGCTGTACTAGAACTAGGGTTCCCAACAGATTAACTGATCTGAAATCTACTCAGTACTACTCTTCCATATTAGTTTGTTTATTAGATATATCACACAGTCAGTGAAACAGTATTATTATTTACTGGATGACAAAGTTTTGAACACAATTTACTTATTGTTCGTAATCATATCGCCAATTATAATCACACAACTTCGAAACTTGAGTTTTATAGTTTTCTTTGTTCTCTCCTATTTGCCGTCACTGGGGTAGTAGAATTTTCCAGATATCTGGGTGGACTGGTGTTGGATCATTCCTATTACACGTGTTTTTGTGGTTGATTCGATAAACCAAGCTTCCGTTATCAATCTCTCCCTTCACCCAGCTGTTACATTAGATTTTAAAACTGTCATCTTATCTCATCATCCTATTGTATGATTGGGTGTGTGTAATTGCATGTAGTGAGTGCTATAGATGAACTAACTACTCTCTAGATTTCTTACCTTATTCGGGTCAACTAATCTAGATTTTGCTAGATTTTTCATGGAAGCCCTAAAACACCTTAAGAATAACAAAGATATAGTAATGACAAAGTCAGACAAAGGCAAGGCAGCAGTAATATTAGACAAATCAGACTATTTGGACAAGGTGAATACTCATATACAAACCGGACCATATGAGGAAATTAATAAATAAATAGACAGCGTTGGGAACACGGTTAAGAAATTCACAGAAGACCATATACGCTGAATGAAGCCATTTTTAGATGGGTCTAAATGGTGCCCAAGTTGTAAGCATATATCAGTACTACTGTTTACGCATTTTTAAAAGGATTAATTTGGTGGCTAGCAGTGGAATCCAGGATATCGCGCGTTTCGTCCTATTTGGGACTCGTCGCCTGGATGTACCTGCATTCCACAGTGAGTGATGATTTCCCCACCGCCGAGGCTCCGAAACAGTGCCCGTAGTTTCAAACACGCAAAAGCGTTATCCACTAGACCACTTGGGCCACGACAGCCACTCCGCCTCTTGTGCAGCTGGTCACCGCGGAGTGCAGGTACATCCAGCTGACGAGCTAGTCCCAAACAGGACGAAATGCGCTTTATCCTGGATTCCATTGCTAGATACCATCCACCAAATTAACCTCTAATTACATGCCCAGACATCGTCGAGGCATCTTCACAAGAAGCCGACGTGTCTACCTGAGTAAACCGAACACTTCGGTCCAATCATTCAATCGACAGGAAAATCTAAAATTCAGTTAAATTTTTAAAAAAGGAATTAGGATATACATCTAAAGGTATGATCAACTACAAAAGTTGTTGACTGTATGTTGCTGTCGACATTCAGGTCATGTACGATAACGTAAGAAAAACCTGTAGAACAGGTGATGAGGAAACAAAAACAAAAATGTCCACTTTAACTAACCTTGCCAGAAACACAAGAATACAACAGACTTCACTACAGCAAATTTAATCGCTGGATCGAAAGGTTGTAGGATACTTCGCGTAGCCAAATAGAATAACACTAAAGCGTATAGTGCGACAAATGCAGATGCGTTGTACACTACTGTTACATATAAATAACCATTTGTAGCACTGAAAGATAAATAATAATAATTTTTTGAAAGTTCAGATGCAAAACAAAAAATTGAAGTAATTTGTGTTTAGAAAAAAAGAAACGACTGTAAAATTCTTTCTAGGGTGATGAATTCTGTGAATTCTTGGGCTAATGTCTCAGTAGTGACCGGTGTGTGTCTGTGTGCGTGTGTGTGTGTGTAGTGCGTCGGTGGCACAGTGGTTAGGACTCTCGCCGACCATGCACATGGTCCGAGGTTCGATCCCCTGCCGGCGCACACCCGATATCTATGGTCGGCCTGAATTTGGGCTACCGATATCCATGCTGAAAATTCCATACTTGTACTGAAAATACGGTGTGGAATCAAGCTGTAAATCAAAATAAATCAAAATAAATAAAATAAAATAAATAAATACCAACAAGTGATTTTTTGATTTTCGATCCACACAAAAAACTTGGGGGATCTGGACTTCGTTGATGAAATTTGTCTGATTTCCTAACAAACTGGAAGATATGCAAGTGAGAAGCAACAAGTTGACAATAGAAGCATCAAAGATAGGAGGGACTTCAGGTGAACATAGAGAAAACAGATGTGGTGATGAAGATTCCTGGCCATCAGAATAAATTGGAGGAATCTGAAAGAAGCAACCTCCTTCACCTACCTACCCACCTGGGGAGCATCATTTCAACTACAGGAGGACGGAACTGATTAGGATATCAAAGCAGCGAGGATCGGGTAAGCAAGACAAGCTTTCATTTCTCTCAAGTCTGTGTGGAAGCCAACACTGAGCACTCAACATGAGAAATAAGATTCGGATTTCCAACTCCAATGTGAACTTAGTGCTACTTACTATACGGATCAGACACTTGGCGCCGCCTCATGAAAGACACTCAATGTCGTTCAAAATTATCAGTAGGCAAAAGAGTTCATTTCTCCTCAACTTTGCTGAAGCAATCTCCCTCAAACGCCTAAGACCCAATTTATCCTTTCAAAAAAAAGTGGTTATCAGTCTTTACTTGGTCACTTGGTAACTGGATATTTTCATCCGCTCTTTCTTATGATTACGTAACGCCGGAGATTCCAATGTGCATGATTTTTATTATGTATGACAAAGTCATTATTAATATTATTGTTACCCTTGTATGCATGTATTGCTTTTTTGTTTAAAAATGAATTCTCTGTGGGTAACTATGTTAAGACTGTCTATGTACACAAAATTAATAATGTCTCTGGGCTGTAAACAGTGATGAGAAGCCAACGAAAGTAGCAATGATGGTACCATTTTAGTCTGCACAAACTGCTGTTGTTCTTGCTTTATTCAAAAGACCTGTACTTGTGCTGAGAATAGGGATGAACTACAGAAACTACCTTAAATTAAAATATCACGCAGAAAATCATTCTCAAAGTGGACGTGATTATTCACATTCAACTCAGAAAACTTCAAGGTTGCAGATACGCCTGTCTTGCTGACTGACAAGTGCCAGCTAGCACGAAGCCAAGGTTGTGTCCAGGTCTTCCTGTGACTGATTGTCTCCAACCATCTAATTCAGTCTGCCCCAAACAAAGGACACTAAACATTACAATAGTTACTGACTAGTGCCCAATCGAAAAACTCAAAAAAATTCTTTAACAAAAATAATCCACTTATATATGGGGTAATTTTTGCTTTTTTTGGTTTTTGGATTCATTTGATAAGAAAGATAAAAGATGGGTAGGTAGGGAGGGTATTTACCTGAAAATTCCGTGTTTATAAACTCCAATAGCTTGTAAAATAATTGTCGCAATCGATGTTAACGGTTTAATGATACAAAATTGTAGAGTTGCCTAAAAAGAAAAACGAAATAAATGCATAAATAAATAATTTAAAATAAACTTCAAAAGGTGTAGAAGAGCTGATTGATATACGCTCAGGAATTATCGATAAAGAAAGAATGAGCATATATTTTCAAGCAGGATAATAGAAGCGCATTTTATCATCTCGTGGATTCTCTGTCTTCAACTGCATACATCGTAAACAACAAAACCAACTAAAATTTAATTAGTAGAGGGTGACTAGCAGTGGAATAATCCAGGATAACGCGCATTTCGTCCTATTTTGGACTCGTCAGATGGATGTACCTACACTCCCCAGTGAGTGATGATGTTCCCACCACCGAGGCTCGAACCCAGTCCAGAATATATTATACAGATGTAGCTCTGCGTCAGATCATCTCATCCAAACGTGCCACATTGAAGAGGAATTTTTCCTACCACTGCAAACAGTAGAGACAATTACAGTTTGCTTCAAACAACCGGATCTCTGTGTGTGTGTGTGTGTGTCAAAGAAATAGGTCCAGCCACTGTGATTACCTTGGCCTACTGTGAAACCTACATATTGATCATAAGTTCTGAATTATCTTTCTCAATTTATCCACTTTTTAGTGAACTTTTAAAATGGTGCATATGATCACCCGTATCTTTGACAAATAATAATATTATTCAACTGGAGAACCATTGAAAACCAGCCAGGGAGTACTGGACAGCTGTTTCATCCTAGTTTGGGAATCATTGGCAGTACGCACTCACAACCAGGGTTCGAACCCAGGACCTTCCGGTTACAAGTTGAACTAGCTCGTATACTATTCAGCCACTGGTACGCGATTCAATGGCCCATGAATTCTAACTTTTACCAATTCGTGATTTAGCGAGGTTCCTGGGTTCGAACCCCAATGGGTGCGTACTGCCGATGATCCCCAAACTAGGATGAAACAGCTATTTAGTACTCCCTGGTTTTCAGTGGTTCCCTAGCTGATATCAATCCATGATCAACTCGTAAAAACAAAACTAACCCTTACAAACCAAACTATAGAAAATATTATTCAAACTAGATAGATAGTCTACGGTGATTTTTAAAAATCATACAGTTATTTATTACATCCCCTAGCTAACTACTTATTGACTTTGTTCAGTAGTATGAGTAGCTAATTTATGCAGAAAACAACAAAATTTTAATGAAAGAAAAGGAAATATATATATGCATACCTGTTTACAGAATCGTAGGAATTCTATTGTATACGTTTGACCATAAAAGCAACATGTGCAAAACGCCCATGAACGTCTGTTTAAAAAAATGCACATAAAAAAGGGGAAAAACCAGAGGTGAACTCATGTAAAGCTAAGGTAGTTGGGAAAAAATACAAGAGAGAAAATGAAAAATGCTCAATGATATAAGAATAGAACTTGTGCTGCACTATTGCGGTAGAGTATAATTCCATTATGGAGAAAATTTTTATTTTGATAAAGTCTCACAGCGTAATATTTACTGATGACAACGTTTCGAGCACAATTTATTACTACAGCTCATAATCATATGAAGTTACTCATACACAAATATCCATCTTCGTTTATATGAGTACACTATGAGTGATGAGTCATTTCTATTACATGTATTGGATGTAGATTATTCAATGAACCAGGATTCAGTAATCGACCTCTGTCGCTCTCTACCTACCTATATTACTTTTTAGAATTTTAACCCTCCCCCTCCCCATTGTGTGGTTGTGTGTTAATGTATGCAGCGCAGTGCAGTGCTGACCTTTTGTCTAAATCATTTATCTTCACGGGGTCAACCATTCTAACCTTAGCTAAATTCTTATGTTCCAACAATTTGACTACCCCTTGACCTACTTGTTTGACCTATATAGTTGACCCCACTCACAGTCAGTGCAAGGAATTTTGTAAATTGTATTATTTTGTCTAATTGGGTCAACACACAACCACACGATAGGGTGGGAGAGGGTCAAAATTCTAAAAAGTAATATAGGTAGGTGGAGAGCAAGAGAGGTTGATCACTGACTCCTGATTCATTGAGTCTACACCGAACACATGCAATAAGAATGACTCATCACTCATACCAGAAATATGGTAGATATTACTATCACTCAAATCAAGAGATGAGAAGTGGTGAAACCATATAAACGAAGTTAGAAAGTTGTATGAGTTACTTGACATGATATCATTATGAGCTGCAATAATAAATTGGGTTGCTCGAAACGTGGTCATCAATAAATATTACTGTATAACTCTGTGAGACATTATCCAAGTAAAAAATTTTATCCCCAATGAAAAACACTCGACAATCAATGAGTTCGCTAGTCTATAGTAAATAAAAAAAGCTTTTCCATCTTCCTCACTTCTTCAATTCAACAATTCATGCATACAGAAAGCTATGTGCAAATTTATAGTGGCTTTAGGGGATTCTAAGGCAAATTGAAAGATTTTTTTTAAGAGAAATGCCTATGTTTTGTTGCATTTTCCAAAACATTCCCGCATTTGTTTTATATTGATCTTCAAGTATTGGTTTTGTAGGGATTTTGTTTGATTGCATGGAGGAGGATTTCATCATGAGCTGACATCAGTTAGAGAAACACTGGAAAACCTGCCAGGGAGTACTGGACAGCTGTTTCGTCCTAGTTTGGCACTGGTCACAGTACGCACCAACCAGGGTTCAGACCCAAGGAACTTCGGGTTGCGAGGCGAGCTCGTAGACATTGATCTGCTATGAGATTACCCCAAAATTGTCTACTGGAGTTATATACAATCTACAGGAACGTAGATCTTAAATATATATTTATTTTTGATTGCTTGACTCCAGACAGTTGAAAATTATATCTTATTTCATTTGTGATATAAGAATAAAACTTAGACACTGTGGAACGTAGAGTATAATTCCATTACGGAGAAAATTTTTATTTTGATAATGTCTCACATAGTGTAGAGTTAGCTACACAGTAATATTTATTGATGACCACGTTTCCAGTACCCTAATTATTATTGTTACTGCAGCTCATAATCATATCATATCAAGGCACGACTCACACAACTTTCTACGTTTTTTATTCATGAGTGAAAATTGATGATTAGACATTTGAATACAAATCAAAAACACTTCAATAGAAATGCGTGAAAGAGAGGGGAAGATAAAGTACATTTGGAGAGATTATTAGTGTTATCAATCAAATATAATACGATAGGAATTAAGCACTAATTAGTACAACAGAAAACTTAAATGATAAAATGAAACAGATAGTAGAAGAAGCGTTTGTGTTAAATAATTAACTATCCTATGAAATTCATTAGGAAGATCAAAAAGGGTCAAAAGCAAAATAAAAATAATGGTGAAACTAATAATAATGATAACATAAATAAGAGAGAATACAAGGCATCTACAGTAGTTTTAACATATAAGGACGAGACATCTGAGACCCTATGTAGGATTCTTAATGAAGTAGGAATTAGGGTGGCATTTAAACCTACAAACTCACTCAGGCAGGACATGCTCTGTAGCACAAAGGACCCTGTAGGTTGACTTAATTAGACAAAAGAAAATATAATTAACAAAATACCTTGCAGTGTCTGTGAGTGAGGTTAACTGCATAGGTCAAACTAGTAGATCGGGCGTAGCCAGATTATCAGAACATACGGATTTAGCTAAGGTTAAAATGTTTCTCCCCGCTAAGATAAGCAAGCTAGAAAATAACTCAGCAATTGCACTGCATTTATTAACACACAACCACACAATAGGGTGGGTGGGACAGAGTCCAAATTCTAAAAAATAATATAGGTAGGTGGAGAGTTAGAGGGGTTGATTACTGCATCTTCATTTATTGAATAATCTACACCCAACGCATGCAATAGAATTGACTCAACGCAAATACCAGAGATATGAAAGATATTATTACCAGTCAAATTGGAGGATGATAAATAATCTTAAAATGTATTCAATTCACATTATAACAGTCTAAAAAGTTATTTTAGTAGAAAACGTCTTATTTTCCATCTCGTTGACTAACAAGAGTCACCTTAATTCCCATCATTTTCTATTTTATTGATAACACTAATATTATTTCCGAATGTACTTTATCTTCCTTTCTGTTTCACGCATTTCTATTGAAGTGTTTTTGATTTGTATTCAAATGTCTGATAATCAACTTTTGCTCATGAATAAAAAAAGTAGTTAGAAAGTTGTGTGGTTCGTGCCTTGATATAATTATGAGCTGCAGCAGCAATAATAATTGGGGTGCTGGAAACGTGGTCATCAATAAATATTACTGTATAACTAACTCTACACTGTGTGAGACATTATCAAAATAAAAATTTTCTCCATGATGGAATTATGCTCTACCGACCCACAGTGTCTAATTTTTATTTTTATATCACGAATGAAATAAGATATAATTTTTAACTTTTTGAAGTCAACCAATCGAAAATGAATACATTTCATATCTGCGTTCCTGTAGATTGTATATAAGTGCAGCCGACAACTGTGGGGTAATTTGAAGACAGGTCAATATAAAACAGATGCTAGAATGTTTTGGAAAATGCAAAAAGAATCCTTCAAATTGCTTTAGAATCCTCTAAAACCGCTTCAAAACTACACATAGCCTTCTGTTTGCATGAATTGTTGAATTGAAGAAGTGAGGATTTTGAGAAACCTTTTTTTATTTACTATAGACTAACCAAATCACTGCATGTTGAGTATTTTTCATTGTGGATAAAAATTTATTTGGATAATATGTCACATAGTGTAGTGTTATACAGTAATATTTTTTGATGCCCACGTTTCGAGCACAATTCATTGCCACTCATTATCATATCAAGGTACTCACACAACATTCTAACTTCGTTTATGTAATTCCATTATTTTCCATAGCTTGATTTGATTGGTAGTAGTATTTTCCATGTTTCTGGTATGAGTGATGAGTCATTCCTATTGCATGTGTTGGGTGTAGATTCGATGAACAAGGATTCAATAATCAACCTCCCTCGTTGTCCACCTACCTATATTACTTTTTAGAACTTTAACCCTCTTCCACCCTATTGTATGACTTTTTATTGACCCAATTATACAATATAATAATATTTACAAAATTCCTTGCACTGACTGTGAGTGAGGTCAACTACATAGGTCAAACAAGTAGGTCAAGGGGTAGTCAAATTGTTGGAACATAAGAATTTAGCTAAGGTTAGAATGGTTGACCCCGTGAAGATAAATGATTTAGAAAAAAGGTCAGCACTGCATTCCAGCGCACTGCATGCACTAACACACAACCAAAGAATAGCATGGTGAGTAAGGGTTAAAATTCTAAGGAGTAATAAATGTCGGTAGGTAGAGAGCGAGAGAGGTTGATTACTGACTGAATCCTTGTTCATCGAGTGAATCTTGACCCACACGTACAATACGAATGACTAATCACTCATACCAGAAATATGCAAAATACTACTACCAATCAAATCAAGCGATGAAAACTAATGGAATGATATGAACGAAGTTAGAAAGTTATGTGAGTAGTGTCTTGATATGATTTTGAGGAGTAGTAATCTGTACTTGAAACGCGGCCGTCAGTAAATATTATTGCCTAACACTGTGAGACTTTATCAAAATAAATTTTCTCCATAATGGAATTATACCTTTCGTGATGGTATATTCACACTTTGTGTTATAAACATTGTTCAGTGTATTATTTATCCTGATTTTATTCTGTCTGAATTCCCTATCGTCGTGTGGAATCATTAATTATTTTCCTCTTCTTACTGATGTAGATTTATTTTTTAGTTTTGATCAAATAATCATAAATTTTGCAAATTAATTAAAAAACATAAAATTGTATCATACCAGAAAATTGTTACTCTTTATCAACCGGTTGCCTTAAACTAAATTTGTAACTGTAACAAGCATTAAACATCTAAAACTCCAACAAAATCTTCTGGTTGTTTCGAGTCCACGATGTGGACGTGATTTCTAATCCCACCTACCAGACACGCTTTCATCCCAACACCAAACACGCACGCGCATATTCACGCACAGTAGCAGATATCCAATTTAATTGTTTTTATCTTATTCCTTCACGTTCCCACTGAAACATAGGGTTTACAGCTAGGGATTTGAGGTTTCGGCAGCAGTGGTCTTTTATTTCTACGGGGTAAGGTTGTTAGTATCACGCGCAACTTTCCCTCTTTATCGGATTTGCTATCAACTTAAAAAGGTTTAGGACCACGTCAACCAAGGATTGAACCTCGGATCGCATGCATGGTTGGCGAGTGCTGTAACACTGAGCCATCGACGCAAAATAATAAATTGATAAAGCTATTAGTGGCAGCATTAAATAACGAAAAATCAGTCAAAACAACACTATCGTTTTGTTTTTCATTTATTGAGAAATGCAATAAGAACTTTTATGATAATGAACTGCAACAAAATCCTCTAAATGATGAGTTTTGTAGGTATTCAGATTCAAGTCAGTGGTAGATTTCGTTACGAATCAACACACCATCTGGAGAGTTATTAAATAGTCCTAGTTTGTGACTCTTCGCAACAGGGATCGAACCTAGGACCATCAACTTACGAGAGGAAACTTGTTAACCACTCATCTACTAGGGTCCGAGTTCAATAGTGTTTGAGTTCCAACTGTGTCAAATGTTGATGTGAAAATAATGCCATAAGTAGTGGGCAACGAAGAAGCTCTTTCCGGCTAATCCACCTTCTTTAACTCTACAACCGTATTTATAAACAATCTTTCCACAAAAGAGGAAGGCGATAACAAAATCGGTAGGTTACAGGATTTTCATCATGAGCTGACATTAGTTAGAGAACTATTGGAAAACATGGGAGTACTGGACAGCTGTTTAGTCCTAGTTTGGGTTCCAAAGAGAAGTCGTGAGCAGTAGGGTACAGCAGGTCGGATGTGAGGACAAATACTCGCCGAAGACATTGACTAGCGGTTGCGCTATATCGTGAATTGGCAGAAGTTAAAATTCATGGGCCATTGGATTGGGGTGCCAGTGGCTTAATGGTATACGAGCTCGCCTTGTAAACAGAAGGTCCTGGGTTCGAATCCCGGTGGGCGCGTATCGCTGAAGATTCCCAAACTAGACTGAAGAAACATCTGTCCAGTACTCCCAGGTTTCCCAATGGTTCTCTAACTAATGTCAGCTCATGATGAAAATCCTGTAATCAATCAAATCCCTACAAACCAACATTTGAAAACTGATAAGTTGTCATAATCATAGGTGAATGCCGTCTGCCGCAACTTTTCAATGTCGATTTCATCATGAACCACCAGTAGTTACAGAACAATTGAACTAAATCCAAATCTCTGTAAGGCAAACACCTATCATCTACATAGGATAATTGTTGTAAAGCTGAGAAGAGTCCCTGACCAGGACAAAACAGCTCTTCAGTGCTCCATAGCTTCAGTGGTTCTCTAAGTATGGCGCTATGATTATTATTTTGTTATTTCCTTGGGTTTTGAGTCGAACATAGGACTTCAACAACACATCTCCACTTTCTTCTATTTAGCAGTCTACTCCTTTTCCACTGGCTGGGATCACGATTACTGCCCGTAATCACTCATCTCCTCCCCCCCTGTAACACACAATCCCCTCGATGTCAGCCTCACACAGTCACCCACTTGTACTCGCCTTCCATTCACCTTCCACTCGGGCAATGGTGTGCATTTAGCGCAATGTCATTTGACCCAATCGTGTGTATAACTGATCAGTCCATCTCCATTTTTTCCTACATATTTGTTGAGCAATCGGCTCTTGCTCGGTTGGCTTGTTCATCGCCAGATTTTCTTGTTGCTAATCTTTTCTGGTCACCCAGTCAACCTACCGTCCGGCCATTCGATCTAGAGTATGGAGCCAGTCAGCCAGCGAATTGGGTAACTGTTGATAAAAGCCTGCAGTGGTAGGTGTGAAATCTTTTTCGTGATGCGCCAAGTTTCAGAAATTGGCAGAAGTTGTAACTGATGGGTCAACGAACTCAGCACAAGTGGCTAAATGGTCAGAGGGCTTGGCATTGTAGCCTGAAGGTGTAGAGTCCAATACCTGGTGGGGCTGTGCGTGTCCATAGTTACGAAATCCCACACTAGAACAAAACAGCTGTTCAGTGCCTTTCGCTCTTTAATGATACTATAACTGATATTAGTTCGTGACGAAATCTAAGCCGAAAATGTATACTTCACGTGGATTCTGGGACATATGATTCATGCTAACCAGCCTACATCATCTAGATGTATTTGCACTCCTACAAAATGATGGTGTTTGCCGTGGCGACTTGAATACAACATCTATCACTTCAAACACCTAAGCGTTGTTCTTTTTTATTCAAAATTATTATCTTTTGAATTTCTTGTTAGTATGTCGTCTAATATGTTAACATATTAATAGGCATTGAGTATTTTGGTTAATTCATGAAAAATTCCTATTCGAATATTAATAGAGAGAAGACTAGTAGTTCAGTGAAGAGTCTCTTTTTGGTGGCCAGTTCATTTTCACAGCTATACAATCACAAATATTATATATATGGTCATTTTGTACAAGTGCGTATGTACATAAGCGTACCTGGGGTTCTAGTGGGAAGCCGTGACCAGAAGGGTACAGCAGGTCGAATGTGAGGCACTAACTTATTGAAGAAGACATTGCGAAATGGCAGAAGCTAGAATTCATGGACTGGCAGTTGGATCGGGTCCCAACGGCTCAATGGTCTACGAGCTCGCCTTGTAACCAGAAGGTTCTGTGTTCGAACTTCGGTGAGTGCGTACTGCCGAAGAGTCCCGAACCAAGATGACGAAACAGTTGTCCAGTATCCCCAAGTTTTCCAGTGGTTCCCTCACTGATAGCCAGCTCATGATGAAATCCTCCATCCAATCAAACAAAATCCTTACAAAGCCAATACTTGTACATTAAATTTGTCAAACGAAAATACAACTGGTTAAGGTTGTTGTAACTAAGATGGGGGTGAAAATTAGTAAGTTTTTAGTGGAGTTACGCAGTAAAAAAGGCGTTTAGAGGAATTGGATGTTGATACAAGAGGGCAGTAACAAAAGTGTTGCGTTGTCACTAGGTAAAGAACTACACTTCTTGAAAGAAATCTTCATACAAAACGTATATGCAACAAGATTTTTAGATAAAAAACATCAAACATAAAATCCAAACGCCATCCATGCTGAAAAAGATACTTTATATGAAACTTGACTTCAGAGGTGAAATACTCAGTGATACCCTTAAGATGAGAATTCCCACTTCTTTTAGACGAACTTTCTTCGCAGTAACACTGGGAGTAGTGTTCGCTAGTCGGCGGGTTATCTGCAGAAACCCAAAGGACAAGATCTTGCACCTAACCACTTCTATGTGTATATCAGTTCACCTGTTGCTGTGCAGCCAGGTACATTAGTCGTTCGAAGCGCATCCTGTCAAAAAGAGTCAAAGAACACTATCCAGCGTGGCCGCAGAAAGGAAGTAGTGGTCGTATATAAGGAGTGCAATGATTGAACATCTCGTCACCACTGGTTATTCCATCTCAACAAACACCTACTGCTTCACAGTGGTCTACAAAGTGAAGAACAACCTCCCAAAGACAATACATTTCCGTCTTCTTTGCACTGCAAAAGCCCTAGCCATTCAGGTAGAAGAACCGAAACCAGGCATACAAAAAAAATTAATCAACTACTTCTACTGTAATGGTAACAACTCTGTTGATTTGACTTAATTTTTCGCTTGTTTGCTTGTTTTTCTAACCACTTAAAACTCTTACGCAATTCCGTATTTTATTTTGTTTCCATGTACACCCTGAGCACAACTCTTTCATCAAACTATTAATGTTATTACATAACTCTTCTTTAACAATTGTTTGTGACAGTTCATCACTTTTGTTACTACCCTGTTTCATGAAGGCCTAATTCCTCTAAACGCTTTTCGTATTACGTAACTCCACCAAAAACTTACTAATTGTATTTTCGTTTGACAAATTTAATGTACACACACACACCTATACAAAATAACCATTTATATAATATTTGTGATAATATAAAGCTGTGAAAATAAAATCGCCTTCGAAAAGCGACTCTTCACTGAACTACCGATATTTCGGATTAGTTTATTTATCGACCGATAAGAAATTATCTATGACTTCAACGCATAACAGATTCTTTTGAGTGAAATGGGGATAAAATCATACAATTTAAGTGATCAATAAAAATGTGTAGTAGTATTGTCTTTTATAGATTTTCACTTACGGTAATTCACGACCTCTAATCTCTGACAGGATACAACTTTCTCCACCAAGATATTCATAACATAAACTTAAGAAACTGTAAACCACAAAAGCTAAAATGAAATCAAAAAAACAAAAGATAGAATTAAGATTTTCAGCGATATATCAAGAAAAATCGACAAAATAACGATTTAGTTATCCAATTTTCGAGGTTCTGCTGTGTCTCACCGATTGTCTAATTGAATGACTTTCTCAAGGGAAAGTGAATGTAACTGAACCAGTAAGAGGGGTTTTGAACCGTACCACCGACAGTCTCCAGCCATTGGTTCTTAGAACTACAACGACACTTCTGTACTCAAACTAAAAGTTATAGACTTCATAGATGGATGTCATACCCACAGCCTACTTCTATGCAAGCTAACCTTGTTCGACGACGAAGGCATGTGTGCTAGCCGTCTCAATCTATGTAGCTTCACAACCTCATCAACTAACTCTCTCCGCTTACCTAGAACTCCACACCTAAAATCAATATTACTCCATCTAGGAAAACAATGGCGGATGAGCTACTTTTCAACTGAACTACTTCAATTTTCTTTAAGTGACGACATCAGTTTGAAATGTTCACTGTGGAAATCCAGTGTTTATTTTGATTTGACACTAGTAACTAGTGTGATGTGTCTACTCCTTTCTTTGGTGCAGACTGAATTCTGTCAGTCAGGTTTGTAATGTGGCCACCATTCTAGGTAACTCACCATCACGGTGCATACTGATTGGAGGCAATCGGCAGGAAGCCTTGGACCTAGGTTTCGTGCTAGTTGGCACTCATCAGCAAGGCGTATCTGCAACCTTGAAGGAACTGATGTCCCTTCTGGGATTCGGACTCGCGTCACACAGTGCTGCAGTCAGAAACGTTACCACTGAGCAGATACGCGGATACGCCTTGCTGACCGGTGAGTGCCAACTAGCACGAAACCTAGGTACAAGGCTTCCTATGGCCGATTGCCTCCAACCATCTAAAATCCAGTGTTTAGATGGTAAAAAAAATACCTATAAGTCAACTCTAGTGACTTTAACCCACTTACTGTTATTAGTATTATAAAGGGATGGAAATCAACAGAAAATCTTATATATAAGAAAAAAGGTTCAGCAAAGAGTGTTTTTTTGGCTGCGAATTCATTCGCCTAGCTGTACTGTCGCACTCATATGTAGTTATTTTTGTATATGTGTGTATATCAGGCTGTTCGATAAGAATAAAAATAAGTTAGTTATTGTTGTCAAGACATTTCAAAAATGTGACGAATGATCACATTGTAACTAGGGCTGGGGTGGGGTGAAGATTGTCAAGAGGGTAGTGGTGATGTGTTCTCAAAAAATACAGAACAATTATTTGAACTCATAAAAGAAGTTGAATAGGTGTAATACAGTTATGTAATACGATGAATGGTTCAATGAGTGAGTTGTGATTACCTACGTGAATTGGGCCAGTCGCCTATAGTGAGCATCATATTGATATTCAAGTCAAGTGTTGGTCTGCAGGGATTTGATGATTATCTTTAAGCAGTTAGATAAGAAATATTTTTAAAAGGCATGTTTTTGTCATTATAGAGCACAGATTAATTTCAAGCATTTATTCGAGAGAAGACGAAAAGGAATAAAAACTGAATGTAGATATATTGATTTACAATGCCTATGATAAGAGAGAGAGGGAGAGAATACTGTCCGCTCCTTATGCATGCATGCACACATACATACAACAATACTGTTCTCAAGGTGATATTTTCTCTTCCCTTCTACCTTCTGATATCATAGCCTTGCTATAAATTGCAGCATATGGGTCTGATAGTCGTCACAACAACAACAGCATCACCTGACAAGGCATTTTTTACTCATAAGTATGATTGGTTGAAGAGTTGGTAAGGAGCAATAGTG